GATTAGTCGACTAATCGAATAAATAATCGGTGATTAATCGATTATTAAAATAATCATTTGTGGCAGCTCTACTGAAGATACAAAATAGTTTGTTTGGTAAGTTATGTTTAGCGTACTGATAACTGGTTTATACAATCAGTGAGGTGTCTTTGAAGATTTATTGGCCACAACAGATCAACAACATCTGAAAAGTTATAAAAATCAAATAAAACGTTCAAAGACTTGATGAAAACTTTGAAGGACTGCTGCTGAACACAGCTTAAAAGAAGTTTTAGTCTGGACATTTTGAAATGTTGCATGATTAAATGTTAAGACCCACTGAACTACACACCGGAGTTTGAGGTGAGGGGCAGCATTGTTTCAAATCGCTCTACAACAAAGGTTCTCAAACTGGGGTCCCAGGACCCCCAGGGGTCTGCGAGCCTCATGCTGGGGGTCCTCAAAAAATTTCTTTAAATTGTTAATTTTTTTTAAATGCATATGGGGAACAGTGAGCTAGTAAAACAAACACACTAAACTAAACCAATAATAACATTCCCATGACATTTAGAGGTTAAAATGACAGTAAAATGTGTTCAAAACAGCATGGGATTTATGAGGGGGGTCCCTGGAAATGTTTCACCCGTCCCCAGACCCAAAACGTTTGAGAACTCCTGCTCTACAAAATGGCTGCTTTGTTATGTAGGGCACAATAAAGTGAACAATGATGGGCACAGCTAACCAAGAAGTTAGTTTTTTTTAGCTTTGCTATCTTATAATACACTAGCTAAAAATATAGCTTCGCTAACACTAAAGGATCTAAATAATTAATTAAATTAGCAGACACTAATGCTAAATGGACAAGTAAAAATAAACAGAAGCCATCACTAACAGCCCCTTGCTACAGTGACTGCAGGATATGAGCACCAATGACCCCTCGTGGTCCTGAAAGGAAGAAGCGGGTAAACATGGATGGATGGAGCACTTACAGCTAACCACTAAGACTACAGTCACTGTTTTTTTTTTCACCTCGGAGCTGAAGACTGGTGGGACTGACGCAAACCTGTTGAGGTTAGGTTTTCAGTTAGCTGTTAGCAAACTTAAAGTTGGCAAAACCTAATTTAGCAGAAATAATTGGTCCACTAGTGAAAAAGCTAAATCTGCTAAATGAAAAAAAAAAACTGTTCTGCTACTAGCTGTTAGCTGATTRGTGGRACCACGCCCACTACTGGAACACTGTCRTATTGTTTAGGTCCGACAGGACAGATTAGTTAATAATCCAAATGCAGAAAAGCCCAAAGTGGATCACTGCTATCCTAAAACAAATCCTAACTTCAACATGTCATAACGGTTGACACAAAGACTGTCTACAGACTTCTGCACTCTCGTCAGTTTTACTTCAAGCTGTTGTTCCAGCAGAAATGTTACGATATTGGAACAGGAAGGGACACCATGTGCAACAGCTAGCTGCTGCTGTGATCTGTGCTTTCAAATAAAAC